TTTAATTTAAAAAGGGACTGTTCTAAAATACATTCAAGAAATTCACGAAAAAGAAGCTTCCGTAGTGTTCCGTGACTATAGTTGGTTTGACTGTTATATATAGTCGATGATTTTTTCCTCTATCTTTGTATTTAATGTAATAAAATAAAAATATAATTATAATATAGTAATAAAAATTCCATGTTGAGTTTTTTTATTTGATCCACTGATTTAACTTAAAATAGTGTAACGTATATTTCACCAAAATGTTATATCTTAAAAATTTGAGCTCCTAGGCAAAAACTAATGCCATATTTGAATTCAGGGCATCAAATTCATATGAAATCAGCTCCAAATACCCCGGCACCAAAACAGCTGTTGGCCTGTGTTATCTTAACAGAGCACTGTGGAATAACAACTTTAGCCTGCTGAATTCAATCCATGCCCTTTCAGCCAAATGAAGATTATCTTCGTCTATCATCCTCTTTGATTATCATAATATCTGAATATAAATTATGAACTTCTCCTTTATTATTGCATTAGTAATACAGATTACAAAGTAACGATAGTTATAGGGGATCAAGAGCCAACCTGATAATGTTTATGCAAAGTTTGTATCTTTGAATAATAAGGGTAATAGGAGATACTGCCGGTCACGGTAGCCGAGCGGTCTAAGGCATGCACTGTCTTCGCTCGCTCGGAAGCCGGGATCGTGGGTTCGAATCCCACTCAGGGCATGGATGTTTGTGTGCGTTTTTCTGAGTTTGTCTACAGGTAGAGGCCTTGCAACGAGCTGATCACTCGCCCAAGGAGTCCTACCATATGTGTAAGATCTAGTGAACCGAAGTGAAACGGAGTGTTTCATGGAGGCCTAGCGCCTAGGGCTGTAGCGCCAATGGGGAAAAAAAATAAGGAGATACTATGGAAATAGCATATCGCAAGAAATTTTCAGGATCTCAAGACTTAATCTGAACCATTTATTTTTTCACTTCTATTAAACACAAGCATAATTAGAATGATCAAGTCATGGAGGATGAGGTGGGCAGGGCATGTGGCACAAATGGGGGAGAAGAGGAATGCATATAGGATATCAGCGGAAAAGCCAGAAGGAAAGAAACTGCTGGGAAGACCAAGGCATAGGTGGGTGAACAATATTAAAATGAATCTTAGAAAGATATGATGGGATGGTATGGATTGGATTGATCTGGCTCAGGATAGGGACAGGTGGAGGACTCTTGTGAACACAGTCATGAACCTTTGGGTTCCACAAAATACTGGGAAATTCTTGAGTAACTGCAGATTTGGCTTCTCAAGAAGGGCTCAGTTCCATAAGTAGGTAAGTAAGTATTACACACAAGAACTTAGTACTTAATTTTCAAGATTCTGAGTCAGTTATATTGGCAATACATAAGAGCAGGTTTATATTAAATGACTGTTTTTGAAGACCTACTACATATAACAATAAGCAAGTATAGAAACTGTATTCCAATCAAATAATACTCACAACATGCAGGAACACATGTCACCAACAGAAATGCAAGGAGTGAAAATGTCAAATACTGATGTAAATATACACCAGTTTAATAAATTCCCCTTCTTCCACTAACATTTTCTCTTTTACATGGATTGGCAACAACCACATCCTTCCATCTTGTCATCCCAAACCTCCTCCTCAATGCATCCCGTTCTTCCTTCGGCATGACACCTTTCCTAACCTGCTGCTCCTATCTTGATCTCAGTCTCCCTACTGGATACTTATCTTTTATTCTCATATTCACAACCTTCATCAGAATTCTCTAATAAGTCATTCTTAAAACAGGCCTGTACCACCTCATTCTTGTCATTTATTAATTTTTCGTCCATGATATGTAAGCAATGTCCGTCTTTTAGTGCACTCAATTTTACTTGTTACTTCACAACATGTTTCGGCACTACAGTGCCATCATCAGGTGCTCTATTTACGTCAATCTATTTCATTGCTTGCCATTACGTCACTGTAAAATTTAAAAAGTAAATACTTTAAATACTTTTTAAATTTTACAATGACATAATGGCAAGCAATGAAATAGACTGACGTAAATAGAGCACCTGATGATGGCACTGTAGTGCCGAAACATGTTGTGAAGTAACAAGTAAAATTGAGTGCACTAAAAGACGGACATTGCTTACATATCATGGACGAAGATCAGTGCAACAGGACGCTAAAATACAATATTAATTTTTCTTCTAACATATTTATCTACAGATTTCTTTTCTTCGCTTTCTTCCTTATTTTCCTTTCCCTGATTTTTCTTTCTATACTTCTTAAAAATCTCATTTCTGCTGCTGTTTGTCTGCTAACAACTGCCTCTATACAAGGCCAGGCTTCTGCTACATGTAGCAATGTTTAAACAAAAGAAAAAACATTTTTCTAATCCCTGGCACTTCCCATTTTCATTAACAATCACCACATTTAAATATATGATTTTCCATACAGTTCGGGTTGTAACAACATGCAAACAAGCATCTGCTCCAAAAAAGTTTAAGTCACCAGAATTGTTTCAACATTCCACAATTCAAAATCATTTGATCTTCTAACAACCTTAAAACATTAATAACCTTCACCGACTTTATACGGCAATTAAATAACCAAATAATTTTAAATTGATGTGCATAATACTATTACTACTGACGGGAACATTACATGACTCCTTGTTAACTTAAGTACTGTTCAATTAAATGTGGGCTTGGGACAGCACAGTCAGTATAGCAACTGGCTACGGGCTGGACATCCATGGGGTCAGAGTTCAAGTCCCAGCTGGGTCAAGAATTTTCTACATATACATACATATATTTCACATTTCACAGTCCAAAATACAATGGACATGAAACTGATTACAAGCAGAACACAAATTTAAACAAACACTGCAACTAATTATTTACTCTCTCCACATCGTCCAGACCGACGCTGGGGAAGACCCTGCTTCTTATCCAACGCGTAATGGGGACTCTTTCACCAGGGTTAAAGCGGACGGAGCGTAAAGCAGACCACTCACCTCCAACTAATGCTGAGGTCAAGAAAATGTGGATTTTTACATCCACTCTCCCATGTGTCTTCATGGCGTAGTGCTTAATTAGTTAAGCACATGGACAACTTTACTTCTACTTCCTTCAGGTTTTGTACTTAAAATTATAATCACCATTTGAACCCTTAAAAATCATTTAAACTGATTTAATAATCCTATCTGAATATCGGGTACCACATTCCGCGCCTAACGGGGCATATTTTTCGAAACAATTATCCAACTGGCAAAGTAGAAATTGATATGAAAATATTCATTAATGTAAACAACAGATACATACAATCAGAACAGGTTATATGTTATAATTTATAACGGACATAATCGATTGCTACATATATCACAGTACTATTTTAAGAGCTATTTCATAATAGGAAGAATGTCAATAACTTCCTAACACTGGCAAACGGTGCCTACCACGTAAGCCAATATCCAAATCTACATAAGGTACGATTTAAATATGAAATACGAAGGATACTTGTTGGACAGATCGTTGTGTTTCTGTATCAGGAGACTGCGACTCTTTCAAAAGTGTGAGTATTTGTATTAAACCTTCCTCTTGCGGCTGCCACGCCATTTTTGATACAGCCTATCCCCTCACACCTGAAAAACGGAAGCAAAAAGTTTAAAGATAGGTCATCACGTGTCCTATAACCAAAACCTCCTTATTTATAAGAAATATGCTACATTTCAATTACTCTTATATAATCTAAATTGTTGTGTTTTTGTTAAAAATAAAATAACGGGAACATTTACATTATACCTTCATTGCATTATTAGTAATCGGTATGTTAGTTGACTTTACTTCCTACTCATTGCTACATTGCCAAATGGGAACACTGACAACATTGATCGTATTGCGAGTTGCAAGATTTATGACAAAATTTTGTTTTTATGCTGTTCTAATTACAGTTCAGCGAAAATAGCGATAAACACAAATCTTTCTGTAACGTCATTAAATGTATATATTAACAGTTCAATGATGGAATGGTACATATGCGAAAATAGACAACTCAGCATAGAAATTCTGTAATTCTCTATCTCTTTCTAAATTCAAATTAAATATTAGCGGTTTGCATTTGCAGGGCTCATTATCGGTTATTATTGAATGTTTCGATTGAGTGGTTGCCTTCAATGCACTCTTAACCCAAATTAGGTAGTAGCAAAAGAGATGCAGGGTAGGATTAGTAGGGTTTGTACGTGGGGCAATTTTTCGAGGTACAAAANATGACTCACGGCAAATTGCAGCCGCGGCGCGCACTTGATTGTACGCTCTGTACTTGTATTGTTCTTCCTCCCCAGATGCAATTTTCCACCACTAGACAGTTTTAAATCTTTACAAAGTTCTCGTAATTTTTAGTTCAAGCGATGTTTCGCCCGTGACAAAACCCATGATTAGTAAGTGCTGTCGATGATGAAAAGATCTTGCTGATAAAGTAGTATACCGAACCGGTTGTTGAATATGCTAGCCACTCCCTATTGTTTCACCAGTAGCTTTTTTCCCCCTTGAGAAAACTGACCTTTCGAACAGCGTTGAATCTGGTTTTTGAATGACCCCTTAAATTTCTCAAATGAACTATTAGAATGTTGACATACTAAAGGACTTTTCTGTTTCCAGAATGTAATTTTATCCTCAATCAAGACATCCGACGGAGATAAACAGAGATAAATGCTCTGGCAGAGGTTGGAGAGGACACGTGTACAACCAAGTGAATGTTGTATCAGGGCAGACCCCTCACCCCCGTCCAAAAAAAATTATAGCCACCAATTATATAAAAGTTACCTTTGAGATCATATAAGTAGGCCTCAATTTCCACTCACAAAAACATTTAGGCTGGCTGTGGGCCTGTGTGGTGGAACAGGCGTTGGAAAGTAGCGAGGGAATGAATGGTCATGTGGAACATGTTTACAGGATGTGTTGATATGTTAGTTCCCATTCTCTCCCAAGGCCTGAGGTGAGGATGGGCAGCAAATAGGCCAGTCATCCTGGAAGATGCAGTTGATGGTACTGTGTGTGTGGATTGAGATGTCAGGGTTCAGAATTGTGGTGGTGAATTTTATATGAATGGTTGTCTAATCTGAGCAATTTCTATTATAATATATCTTCATTATCTCTGGCATATTTGGTTTTTGCCTAAATCTGGTGTTGGGTGCATGGTCAGGATGATATGTAGTTCCTAACTCTTATGAAACTTGCCTCTAAGAAAATACAAAGAATTAATTCCTCCAGAAACTGTCAGTTCTGATATAGTTTAACCTGGAAAGTAGATGCAGATGTCACAGATTTATGAATAAAATTTCACATGTAAAGTAGTCTAAACTAAAATATAATATCTGAATTTATACCATTCAAAATGTTAGAACATCCTATTTTTGAAGCCAACAAAATTTACACCTTTCATAATATTTACATAAGATGGGACCTTAAGCCATATTAATGATCACATTTTAATAGGAAGGACAAGGTAAATAGAAATATTAAAGTTTCATATTTGTGTATGATCAAAACCAAATATGGAACAAAAAGCTAACAAAGTACCCTTAACTAAAAATGGCAATCTTAAGTCAATAAACTGTGCATGTGATTTATTTATAATTTTGTTACAGCTCAATATAAGAGCAACAGAAAATTTTAGTATAATGTAATGAAAGTATATCATTTATTTTTTGAGTCATCTCATATTATGAATTCCTGAGTGGTAGTGTAATTAGCTTATATTTAAGTTCCATAGGTAATTCTGGAACATGTTCACACTCACATGAATAATAAAAAAAGGATAATAAGCATTCTGATATATTACGTACCCACTTTTCTATTGTTATGAGTGAAATTACTAATAAATATCCAGTGCTTACATTTGTTTGCTGTGACCTGCATTGTAGTGACACTATTCAACTTTCACCATCCTCTAACTAAGGGACACATCTCATTTAAGGATGAGCTACTGTAGTTTCACCTGTCTTCAGATTACTGATCTCCAGTTTACAGGCAGACAGTATGTTTGGAAGTGGGTGATAAATAATACCATAAAATAAGTTAAATAATTATTTATTAAACGAGTGTAAAATATATCAAAAGTTATAAATTAAAATAAATTACCAAGAGTTAAGTAATATTATAAAAACTTATATCACGATAAGAAAATATGCAGTAAACTCCCACCTATCCAGAATCCGGGCATCTGGAGTTCTCAACCGACAACAATTTTTAGAACTGTGATAATTTTCAAAGTTATTCATAAAAAAATTTTCAATGTGCACACATGCACCCAACATGTAATAGTTGCTGCAGGTATCCCTAGCATTGCTTTCATCTTCTCTCACACAGGTGCCACTCAGTAAAGCCTAGCTGAATCTGTAAGCCTGTTACAAGTACACATATCCACAATCTGTTACCCATGAAGATTCTGACTGAAGGGGAAAACATGTTGACTGTAAGAGGTTTTTGTAAGAATTCTTCTCACGCAACTGGCAGATTCATAACAGCACACCCCAAACATGCTGGATAATGTGGAGTTCATCTATTAACATTAAAAGAACATTTGTTTTCATAACTGTTATTTTTTAACTAGTGATAATGTATGTAAAGTCGCAGCTTGAAGAGCTCTGAAATACCATATCTGTGTATAGAGAAATCAGTGTTTGAAGATGAGATTAAAAAGCATACTAATTGTAACGTTACAAATTATATCAGTTATTTACACTTATATTTAGTTGATTTATGCAAGACTATAATGTTGTTTCATAGTATTTCGATTGCCCTCAATCTATTTTAAATGAAGTCAATGTTCATACTACCAAAAACAAGGCAATCAATATGCATTGTATAATCATCATTTTGTTGAGTCTTTAAGTTACTGAACCAGTGAATCAGATAAATTATCTTAAATATCTGATACTTAGGGCTTACGTAACTTTTGACACACCACATGCTATTGAAATTACTACTGCTCAAAACTATTCCATGCAAAGAGTTAATTCTGTACCACTGTTGGTCACCATGGAAAAACTATAGCTTGATAATCTTAGGGCTAACAGAAATATCTTAATTAAGACTCCTGTCTTCTGGAATGTGACATCATACAGTCTGGTAGATAGTAACATTTTCGATGAAACCATTTCCTCCATTTTCAGGATAGAAGATGGAAGCAGGGGTTCCTCCATAACAGACTACAACTCATTTTGGAGATGAGCACTATCTTCCATGATATGATGGCATGTAATTTGTTGAAAGCATACCAATATTTCAGAGGAACGTACTCACTCCATCTTAAGGGCCAAAGAATAAGCCGAGAAAGAAAGCGGGGTAAGCAGAGCAGACTTTCAACAGACTACATGGCATATATCCCAGGAGAACATACTCTTCTTAAACACCGCTCTAAGAACAATCAGATCCTACAATTGGAGACGTTCCAACATGATTCCTGTGCACATGCACATATCACCAAAAGCACAAGATGCTTGCTGTAAGGACAACAGCAATTTCTGAAGTGGTGAAAATATACATCTTTTAATGCTACACGGCTTTTCCTAGAAACGTAACTGACATATTGATCAGGATTTGCCACTCGATGTCTAGACTATTACTGTGGAAACTGTCCTGGCATGACTGAGATATCCTATGTAAATCTTCTGTCAGGATGGATCATCACAAAATTAAATACTGGAACTTCCTGAACATTACTGATCTATGAGAGACAACTAGTAGGTTTGTAAAATGTGTATGTACTCAAGTTAAAAGATAATTTATTACAATAGTTGGACCATCTAAAAAAAGAACAGATAATAGAATTAAAATTTAAGTAAAGAGTCTTACAGAAAGATGAAGAAGATGGTTCAGCCAGGCACTGGAAGACATCAAGAAGAGAATAAAGAGCTGGTAAGGACACAAAACAAGATTGTGGGAAGAAAGAGGAGGCTGGAGAGCTTTCAACCATTGTCTTACATAAAGAAATACAAAGCAATGCTGTTGGAAGAACAGAATATCTGGAACTGATTCACAAAATCGATATGCATGCCATTTTAACACTCATAAACCATTTCTCTCCATAGTCCCCCTACAGCCTGAGACACCGCTTATAATTTTGGATGAGTTTTTCTAACCCTGTCCATGGAATCAGTGCAATGTCCTTTCCATGGTACCAGTTTTAGCTTCCCACAGGTTCATCTATCTCTAGCTCTGAAGCCGCTTCTAGAAGGCCACTGATTTAGAACTGATGATGTGAACAATTGACCTAATCCTTCCAGCCACACTTTGGACCTGGGATCAACTCAGCCTCTAACAGAAATGAGTACCAGGAATATTACAGAGGTAACGGGCAGCCAGTGTGTAAGGCTGACAATCTCACCACCATCTGTGAGCTGATTCTCTAGAAAATGTGGCAGCCTCAACATCTCACAGCCCTATGGGCCTCCACGGCCTGTTATAGTGATGATACCTTTTTTAAAAGATGTGAAAACAGCAATGATAAGAATATGATGTTATATTGATATCTGTGTCTTCACAGAGATGTGGTAGAAAAATAATTTACAAATCATAAAATTATGTGGTATTATCCAGGCAGAAGCTAGTGCATCACTTCAAGAAACATGCCTCATAAGCTTACTTTCTAACTTCTGCTCATAATTCGATGAAAAGGTATAACCAACACAGTACATTATACACTGACTACAAGAAAATCACCAGTGTCAGCAGATTGCAGAAATGCAAAAACAACAATCTGGAACGGATATATTAGATTGCTTAAGACATGTGTATGGCCTTTGTAGATGAACTTAATTGTTTTAGTTCATATAATAAGCGAGTCTTATGGAAACATTCAATACATAATTTGGCCATAGTAGAAAATGTCTGAGGGGAATACTTACACAGTTTTGGGAACAAATGAATGTCAGTAATACAACTACCTTCATTAAATCTTCATAAATGTGAAATCAAGCTGAAATGCTATTTCAGTGTTAAGATTACAGTCTTCAGATAATTTCCATGGAAACAATCCTCTTGTAAAACAAAAGGTGAGATGGTCAAACAAAACAAAAGGAAGCCAACTGCAATACTAGTCCACGTCCTGCATATGAAAATATTCACCACAAAATAAACATATGAAATAACATCAGTACTATCATGTGAGTATGTTGAAACTGGATAGTGCTATGTTCGAACAAAACCTGCTACCATTAGCAAATATAATCTCTCCAGATTCATGAACTTTGTCACATAATTTCCCGTGACATCTCATCTCAATTCAATGTTCAAGGATGAACCTTACTAGTATTTTTGTATAAACATGTGTGGCAACCTGTAAGCACCCTGAATTCCATTATGAAAATGTAATGGCCACATACTTAAACCTGCATAATTCATAAAACACAAATGACAATAAAATCACAAGATAATACAGTTTTACTTGAATTTATAAATATATGCATTTTTATAATACTTGAGGCATCTGGCTACTTTGTGCATCTGTAATAAACCTTTGCAGCACAAAATGATGAATATGAATGAGATACATACCTTCAAATACAATTGGACAGTAATATATATATATATATATATATATATACACACAGTTGCCTATACCTGTGGCATATTCAAATTAGTATCGTTTTCCAAAAAGTATGATCATCACTCTAACAAAAGACAGGTTTTCGTTAATATACGAGTACTGTTGAAAACTATTTTTAATGTCAGTGAACGTAGAGTCCGTATCAATCCCAGTAAAGTCAATGAAATGAAGACTTTCATGTTCATAGTCCAATATCAAAACACACAGATCTGTGCCGCAGCTGACGACTGAGAGTCGATTTATTCTCCACATGGTTATGAAGAACATGGCAGCCAGAACTCCAATGCACTATGAGTGCCTCCAACCACTAGAATATCGTTCTTGTAGTCAAACTGCAAAAATAAAATAACTAGTTATGATACACCCAACAAAACTTCATAATCTATCTTTAATAATTTAGTTAAAACATGTCCCACATTCACGTACAAATAAAAAAAAAGTATGATACTAAATAACCTTTACAATAGAAGCAAAAATGCCAAATAATCACAGAATGAACACTGTTCAAACATGAAGGGCAGCACAGTATTATAATGATGGGAGAAACCACATTTACTCACCCCTGTTACTTCCCCAACCTGAGAACTGATGACAGCAATTGTTTCTGGCCTCTGAGTTGGTGTGGATATTCGAACCGTTCCATCAGTTGAACTTGTGAGGATGCTGCCCATTCCATGCTGCACGCATGTCAGCTGTGCACTGTGCCCAACTTTGTACGACTGTAAGTTAACATTACATGCAGCTTTGCAATGATACTTTGCCGATACAGAGTGAAATTTCATGAAATCCTGATCACAGCATCACACAGAATGAATGAGGTGTGCAGTCATGTTGGACTTTGACCATTCTGTACAGTACAGCGAATGAGGGAACGAGGGTATGACCTTTTCAAACACAGTAACAGCTTCTTGGCCAGAGTGACCCAGCAGGAATTACACATTTGTGGGGAGACCATTACAACAGAGAAGACATAGTTTTGGGAACAATCCTGTAGATCTATCTCTGGAACATGTTGCCTCTATATGCTAGGCCTCTGTATATTTCAGCCCTTACACTCTGTCTAGATGATAACTATTGTTAAGTACTAAGAGATCATGGGAGACTGAGGCTATCAAGGAAGAGATGTGATGCCATGCAGTCTGGTAGACATGTACCAGTGTTTTGGAGTACTACTTCCATCTTCAGGCTACACGTCCATGATGTGTATGTACTGACCGTCTTCTAGTGCACACAATCTCACTTGTCACATCACTACATGTTTCGGCATCACTGTGCCATCCTCAGGTGTGTTATTTACGTTAAACTATTGCACTGCTCGCCTCCATGTGTCGTTTGTAAAATTATTTAAAATGTATATTTGTCATGTACTATAATAAAATTTATATATTAAAATTTTGTTAAGATTTATCATCTTATACGTCATATTTCAAACTCACGTATTATATCAATCTTCTGCTATGGGAGTCATTCTTCCTATATTCCTATATTTTGTATATACTACGTCTTGTGATGTGTCCCTCTCTTGTGCCTGCGCACACACGAATTTAAAATATGACGTATGAGATAATAGGTTTTAACAAGTTTTAAATACATAAACTTTATTATTATATAAGGATGTATACAAATTTAATATTATTTGTGAATGGCCACATAAAGGCAAGCAGTGAAATAGTTGACGGATTGATACACCTGAAGATGGCAGCATACTGCCGGAACATGTAGTGTAGAAGCGGTAAATGAGATTGTATGCACTTGAAGACTGTTAATACATACACACTATGAATATGAATCAGTGCAACAGGATGCTAAAATACAACATAGTGCTAGTACTTACATCAACAATATTGAACTGCCCTTGAGCTGGATTTATGAGATGTAAGTTTCCCTTTGAGTCACCGACATAAATAAGGTTGTTGCTGAATGACATGCACATGGGAACATCATTCACTTTACCCTTAAAACAGAAAAAAGATATGTAAGTATGTGCAATAAGTAAAACTTCAACAGCTGTAATTGAAAAGAGGGACATGAAAGTTACGCATAATACAAATTTTGTAAGTAAAATCAATGATAACTTTCATGGCCTGTTCAGGTCTACATACCACATAAAACCTCTCTCTGGTGCATAAATTACTGGATATCAACAGTATACAGAAGAATTATATTCATATATAGGCTGTCCTCTACAAACATTTTGCTTATGACAGAGTTTAAGAAAATGGAGAGGCATACAACAACTGAAGTATACATATTCTCAAAATGTTTTGGCAACACTTCACAACTTAGTGACCTTGACATTCACTTAGTGCAGAAACTAGCAGTGGAAATGCAAATGCACTGTTACAAAGCTAATCAACTCATCACCTGCTTCTGCTGGCTTTCTGCTTGGAGTACTCTTTAACCCTGAACATGGAGGCAACAGTGAAGCTCTCTCTGAACTACACAAAGTTACAAAGCTGGAACACCGTGCTCTTCAACTCTTCATGTTATGAATATGTTCAGTTTGATTAATTAATAATCATATAAAGACATTCCAAGCAAGTGCTATAGATCATTCCAAGATAAATATTTTTTGTGTATTATTCTTGTAAGACAGGATATTTTTAAGAAAAGAGTAAAACTGCTCAATCTGTACTGCATATAAAGTAGTGGTTATAATGGACCAACAAACTTGTTGCTTATGGTTTACCTAATGATACTATCAGCAACTCAGTCTACAAAGTGTCTAATCATATGATGATTGGTGAGCAATAACACGGCGCCACATCCCAGAAGACGGCATTCCTCACAGTCACTGCCATGAAAACCTCAAATCTCAAATTAGAAGGATGTGGAAGAAAGCAGACACAGCCCAATTCAAAATACTAACACAGAACAAACCTTGAGGGACTCAGGGAAAAAATGACAAACCTCCGTCATGATGTCCTGGCCGAGATTTGAACTGGAAACTTCTGAATGCAAGCCAGAAGTGACATCACTATAGCCAACTTGCTCAAATCATATGCCAAAATTAAATTTACATTATGACTTTTAATGTAGCACCTCAAAATGGGGTGGGGGAGTAAAGTTGTCCTTGTGCTTAATTAAGTGTCATGCAAGGAAGATGTATGGGGGAGTGGAGGTATAGCTTCACCATTCTTGACCTTGGTACTAGATGGGGGTGTGGTCAACTTCAGGCCCCGGCTGCTTTATCCATATGGAAAGAGCCTTCAGTACGCATTGAATAGGAGACTGGGTGAGCCCAAGAGCTGGTCTGAATGCTATGGAGAAGAGAAAAATCTTTCTCCTGCTCAGAATCAAACCCCGGCTGTCCAGCCCATAACATGTCACTAAACAGGATGACTTATCCCAACTTACGTAACCCTCAAATATCATACTTAATTGAAAATAGGTGAGTAGTTTTGGATATGAAAAATTTTAACAGGACATATAAGACAATCTGTTATTCTGCATTCATTTTACACACTTCATGCAAGGATTACTTAAAACATATGCAGCCACTCAGTTCTTGTACATGGTTCTTCGCATTATCAAAGCATGTAAATTTCCTCACAGGGTTTGATGAAACATATTAATCTCATTCATAAGGGCTCTGATCATGGCATATCATTACGAGCACTGGATTTCTGGACTTTGGCCATTCTCTAACATGCTAAACACAGCACATTCAAAAAACATCCAATTCTGAAAAGTGTTCTGTTTCGGATACTAGACAGAGGAAAGAGTTCACAAACCCAGTAACATCGAATGTTAATCTCATGCTTACATGCAAGCTTATAACATCCAGACTGTAACACACACCTTATCTGCATACAGGTTTAGTTGCTTCAGAACTTTTTCTGCCCTTCGGTCCCACACGGCTAACGTATGATCCTCACTGGCAGACACAATAAAGTTGCCAAACATGGACAGGGCTAACACAGCACTCCGGTGAGCTCTGTACAGGCTCACCTCAGATTGTCCAACCCTGGTATCAAAGAGCATCACATCCCTCGTCCATGTTCCAGCTGCCACCAGATTGGCTGTACAGTCTAGTGAGAGGACGGCTGTCCGACATCTGATGCACGAAACAGAACATTTACAAACAGACAGTCCAAATATTTTCCCCCAAACTTTAAAAACTATCAGTTAATGCTCTTCCTTCAAATTAAAGGACTATATTTTAAGATAACACAAAACTTTTAAAATGACTGCATTATAACTTCAACATTTTAAAAGATAGACATAATGGTTACAGCCGATTAACTGGACAGCAACAAGCATTTTCTGTTTTAGTCCATGTCCCTCAGTGCTGATAGAGAATGCAATATAAAATGTACTTACTGAAATACAGACACTGGTTGAAGACTGGGAGTGAGCTGCCATGACCTTACAGTTGTGTCCCAAGAGCATGAGTACACAGTTTCACCACAAGAGGCAAACTTCCAGACCCAACCTGTGTGGACATCTGATGATATCTGATATGGAACTTCTGTGTCATCATTCACCACATTAGACAGATCCCACAGTACAATGCTACGGTCTCTTGATCCGGACACACACAGCAAGCCAGACTACAAATAAACAAACCATAAGATTTTTCAAATTCTGTTCTCATTTATATATCATCACTGTCAATGATATGAGAAGAGTTTTGGTGATAATGTTCCTAAATCAGGGAAATACACATTCAAAACTGCTGCCATTATTACAGTTCTGAGAGACAATAATTTCATATAGATATAGGTATACTTATGGGCTGTCAACAAAACAGTTGATTATAAACAGATATTAATGTTTAATAATATTGTGACATGTTGAGCTATGGATCACCCCTACCTCCCCAGCGGTACGTGGCGGTAACGTAACGCTCGCATTACTACGGTAATAGGCG